ATTTGTTATATTTTAATATTGTTTCAATGTTGTTGAATTTGTCTTATATGGATAATAATAAGAACAATAAACATGCATTTTTAAGTTTGAATATTCTTATGTTATAAATATTAATTACATTGAAACTGGACTGTCTATGTCATTAATTCAATGTGTATTTTTATTTTCCAATATAAAGCCCCTATTCATCATTCATTATATCTCATTCCATTTCTTTCAATACTGTCCCATTCCATTATATCATTCACCGTTTTTTTAGCTCATTACATTTTCACTTCTCTTATATCTTCTTTTCATTTCCTTCTCTTTGAATTCTAATAATTTAATTCCATTCCATCAATATACTACATTTCGCTTCTTTCAATAAATTTTGAAATCGGTTACATTTCACCTTGACCAGCTGTTTCATCTAAATCATCTGTTTAATCTGTTTAACTACCGGTAAATACCCATTAGGTTTCTTGATGATTTATTAGCTTCATTTACCATGGATGTTACTCAATTATGTTATGTTCCAGAACCTGCATTACATTGTCGTTCACTAGAATACCGTTGTCGTACACCAGAACTCTTAGGCAAATTTAGGAGAAAACACACTAATATGGCTTTTTCTTTTACTACTTTTACTTGGTAGTCTTATACGTGTAAAAGTAGCAGCATTGTTGCCAGCTCCTGATTAGATGTTATGCTGATTTTTGAAGGATTGACATATCAGTTTAACATTTTTGCTAATTTCTCGTTTCTTTATGGGGACACAATATTAATTAACAATCTTTTGAAATAGTTTTATTAATTTCAGATCAGTTTCTCAGTCATAGATGTTAATTTCTTGTTTCCTAAAAAAGCCAATTCATTAATTGTTTAATAAAATTCCATAGTTTACGTTATTTGCCAAATTAATCCGAAGATTTATTAAAACATGCTCGGTGAATGTAAACATGATTCTTTACCGGCAAAATCGTTATATCACAATCCATTTGTGGTTACATACAAAATATTTATTCAGGTTACCGTAATTATTGATCAATAACTATAAACTTCAGGTATATTTTCCGAGGTCAAATCTATTGTGAACCTTCAATTGTAGATTTAACAGGAATAACAAATTGTATGTAAACGTACTCTAACTGAGGGATCTAGTGATCGATAATGTAACATCGCCTATATATTCAATTAATTTCCTTAACCTTTTCAAATCTCAAACTTTGCATAGCATACTTTTAGGGGCCTTTTCCTAAACTTCTTCACATCATCTTTTAACTGATAATAAATATTTTTTTTGTAATAATTTATAATAATAACAATTGTATGTAATATTGCATATATTGAACTCTCCGGACTACACTAACATCAATTTGTGTTTGGGGGTGCTAAATCACTAAGTGTAAGTAATATTGTGGGTCCCGTGTTTGGGACTTTATTTGAAATATATGTGTAAGTTTTAAATATTGTTGTGTTGCATTTTAATATTAAGTTGCAAATAATGATTAATAATTAATACGTATATTGATAGTTAAAATACATTCATTCTGTGTCCATTTCGCTATTTTTCCATTCCATTTTGGCGGTTTAACTTGAATTAACTTGAGAATAACTTTTTTAATTATTCACTTTTGCTTTCATTGCATTTCACTTTTTCACTTGGGATTGCCTTTAGAATTTCGTCTTTCATTTGGTTGGAACTTTGTCTCTGCATTTTTCGCTTTGACTTCCTTGATTTTTCATATCATTTGAGTTTTCGTTTGTTATTTTATTTTTTTCTTTTTTGGAAACTTTATAAAATATATCTTCAAGAATAAATAATTTGAGTATCCAACTCAGATTTATCTTTTCTCCTTAAGACGAGAAGAGTTGAAGTCATTGCTTCAAATGTCCCATGGTTTTTTGAAATTTTAAAACGGAATTTTCTTGGCAAAAAATCCACATGGTGTTAACGTCTTCGATGTTATTTCTATATTTTGCGATAAGAAATGTTCATATTAGGTTTGGCGGTAAAAAATCAGAGTAATCATATATGAAGTCCAATTAACTCCATATATTTTCGTAATGCTTTAAATTAATTATTGAATTGTAAGTTTTCGTCAATGGCTTTAAAATATGAGCCCACAATCGTGTCTATGGTTTGTTATTTCAATTTTGGAATAGAAAAATAGATTTTCGAAATTTAGAAAAAAAATTGTTTTCTTATTACATATTTTTTTAAATATTGTCCGTAAAGGATCACTTTTAATGTATGTTTGCATTTTTAATATTTAAAAAAAATTGTAGTGCAGCTTTAAAAGTAATCATCTTTTATTAAAAGCTCTCAACTAAGACGTTAATTAAAGGAACACCATTATTTCTTTCTCACTTCAAAGGTATTGTCCAAGGGAATCCTTCTTTTTTACTTTCCCTAACTTTGACCACAGTTTTTTATATGTCTCATCAGGTATTAATTAACTTGCTTATGTTAATGTCAATGCCAAAAATGACACTAAATGTATTAAATTTTTATCACTGATCCCAGGAATGATGTCTGGTGCTTTGAAAGGTCCCTCTCTATCTTTCATAAATCTCATTTTTTTATAATAATTTCTGTTTGAAAAGAATTTGAGCCATCGACTCCTCCACAAGAAAAATACAATTCCCAAGATCTGCATTCAAAATGTTATAGGATCTACACCAATGCTGGACCTTGATCTTGAAAATATGAGAAAGGCCTAGATAAAAAAAGAACATTTGAGAAAAAGTTGTGAACGAAAACCCGGACATTTCGGAACACAGACAAACAGACCATGGCAATACCATAAAAAATTTACAACATTGCTTACAGTTCAATACATTAAAAAACTTGAAACGATATACCCTCTTTTTTCATTCCATTTACATACACAAATCGTGTGGTAATAACAAGAATTACAACGAACGGGCAGACTATGGCTCCCCCCGTACCATAGTAGAGGGTATACAAATGTATCATATCTGGTGGCACCAGAAAAAAAGGAAGAGAGGGGGAATGTTTAGTGTACACTTTATCCAACTACCTCAATTCCTACTAATCTTCAGTCAAACGTATAAAGGCGGACTTTTTTATACCACCCAAAATATATCATTTAAACCGAACGTAGGAATTGAGATGGTTGCTCAGAGTGTGCAAGGAGCTTTCACATAGTTCCAATCAAAAAATGCCTTTTTCCAGGTCCTAACGGAAAAAGTTATGCCAACTTTTATGAGACATAATCAGTTTCAAAACTACAGGGAATATCGCATACCAGCGTTATAAAAATTGATTTAAAACAACAAATATCCACTGTTAAATAGAGACCCTTTCATTAAAGCATATTTTTGTTTAGAATTTAAAACTCGAAATTAATGATGTAATTAAATTTGCTTCTTTAAACCTTTAAAAAGAATTAATTATCTAAGATTGAGTTAGATGTCCTTTATTACAGCTTATAAAATGATCTTCAGAAGTTTATTTGTATATGTGAGCCAGAGATTTCGAAGCACATTAGAGAAAAACTTTCTCGATTACCTTTATTCCTATTAAATATAAATTCAGATGATGACTTAAGTGAGGACATTATCTCCTATCTGCCTAGAGACCTTAAGACAAAAGGTCACATAGGAACATTTTAATTGACATTGACAATGGAGAAAAAAATCTGAAGTTGCTTTTACACCAACATGAAATACAGTATGGTTCTGTAATTTTTATTATAAAACAGATGCATTTTTCTTTTCAAATCTGTAGATAATATATTCTAATATATTCAAAACAATTTTTCGATAATAGATCTGACATCTCTTCGGCAGCATTGGAATACTTTGGTTAGCATTGAACTCATTTTTCAGACACAGTGGCCATAAAAAACGCAAAAGCAAAGATAATTTAGGAAATCCAATTTGATACTTTCTGATATCTTGTCTCCACCCCAAAGGGGAAGCACAACATTTTGTCTCCACAATAACAGACTTCTAATTAAAAAAGAGTCGTATGTACTTAGAGGATTATACTACACAAATCGAAATTGAGTGAAGAAAAAGGTTAACATAGTTTTTCTTAGGTTTTTTTAGTTTTTTTTTTGTTTTGTTTTTATTTATTTCATTTAATTTAAATCTTATTTATGTTTTATAATTTAAATTTACTTAATCGTTTAAATAATTATCTTTCTCTTTTTTGTTTTCTTTAATTCTGTTTTTATTAAATAATAATAATTAAAATTAAAAAAAATCTTTTTATTAATAATAATTAGATTTGCTGGATTTTGTTTTGATGTCACTATTCTGCGGGTTTAGTGTTTGGGGTGGCGTTGATGGAGAAAGTAGGGTAGATTGGTGGCTAGCTTTGTTTTGCAGGGCCTAGCTTAAAATAACTGGCCCCTTAAAAGGGTGGCGCATGAGTTATTGTTTTTTAGGCTGTTCTACTATTATTAATTCCAGTTTATTTAATGTTCTAAATTGGTTTTCACTCCAAGGAGCCGTCGTGAGAAATGGTGGAAGGATATTATAAGGTTTTTTTTTGTTTCTTCTTTTTCATTATTAAATATGAAACAAAAACAGAAAATTCAAAAAAACAAAAACTAGTTTCTAAAACATTTAAAAATTACTTAGCATTTTCTTTTAGTTGTTGTTACTAATGCTGTTTGTTGTTGTTCTGCATGTGGTTGTTGTCTGTATGTATTGATTTTACAAATTAATTAAAACTGTTCATTAATTAATAGTAATAATAATAATAGATTTAAACTAGATTTTTAGTTTCTTTTTTTGTTTTTGTTTCTTTTTAACTTTTAGGGTTCTTGTTTTTTCTTTCTTTTATTCATTTATTATTAATAATATTCATCATAACATAGAGGCGGCATACAAGAATAATGCTCCTACTTATTCTTCTAAAAAAACATCTGCATCTTCCACCAAAATAGCGTCTTCCTTTTTTTGTTTTGCTAATCCTTCTCTCTGACTTTTTCACTTTAGTTAGGGTCTCTACATCCAAAAAAACAAAATTTATAAAACATTCGTAGTTGTGTATTCTTTTTTTTCAAGATAGATTCTTGGGTTTCTTCTTGATTTCAAAAATGTCATTCTATTATTGATGATGTTCATTTGTTGTTGTTTTGTTGCATCTTAATTTTAAGTTATAGCAGTATGGTTTTTGTATTTTCTTTTTTTGTATTTTTCTCTAAAAATCCTCTATTTCCTTTTTTTATCTCCTTATTTTTGTCCTTTTTTTCTTTTTGTGTTTTAAAGGGGGCAGAGAGGGAGTTTACTTTTTTGTTTTTATTTTTGTTTTTTGTTTTTATTATTAATCTTTATTTATAATAATTTAAATAACACCAAACATCGAGAGCCATATGTATTTATGTGTGTGTAAATCGTCGATGTTTCCATGTGGTTTTTTAATTCGGTTTCCTTGTTGAAGAAGCTGATTTGATTTTTCTTCCATTTGTTGTTGTTCTAAAAGATGGTGACGTTTTTCATGGTGGTTGATGTAGTTGATTTTGATGTAACAAAGTTGAGTTTGTTGAGGCTTAGCGGGCGGGAGTGGTGGTGGTATGGAGAATAGTGTAGTTGTTTTTTTATTACTTCGTGGATGGCAGCAGAGCTGGATAACTTGAAATGGATGAAGCAGCCATATAACAAAAATAGTATATGTAATAATATAATGTGTGGGAGTGTAGTGGTGGTGGTAGTGTTTCTTTTTTGTGGAGGAGAAGGATGTTTGCTGATTTGTTTAATAGTAGGTTTCTTGTTCCAACCAGCCTCCGGGATTGCGACGCAAGTAGAAACGTCTAGTTTCATCATAAATGAAGATGGCCAACATGAATGGAATGGCTGGGAACCACCAAACGAGTCTGAAATAAAGCAAAACATAGAAATACGAATTAGTAATTTGAAAAACGAGCAATAAATAACAATAATAAAAATATGCTATGACGCTAGCGGCATTAACTGCGGATTTTAAGAATATTTCCTTAAAACTTACAGCCCTAAAGGGTGGATTTTTAAGATTAATTGGAAGTTATAAAATGTAAAATATTTATGAAGAAATAGCAATCATAAAGACTTGATTTTTAAAGGACTTTTTAAAGACTTGATTTTTTAAAGCTTGAACTTCTAAGAAAATTTTTCAAAATTTAACCGCCTAACAGTCGCCTTCGGGGAACATATTACTATCGGAAGTAAACTGCGGATAGTGTAAAGATATACTGGGTAGCTACGAATTGAATAAGCAGTCGCGGACAGTCAGCGACATCAGTCCCTTCACAAGACAATGACGGCAGATGCTGGTGTGGACAACTTGCCACCCTCGGCCAACAAAGCTACAAAAGCAAAAACGATTCAAGATAGTCTGGTACCACTAGCAGGACGGAGCGGCCGCGAAGCCAGGGAGAAAACGACCTTACACTTGACATTGTTGACGACAACAGATCATTTTGGATATGGGACCGTTAAGGCTGAGTCAGGAAAGTATCCCTACAGACTTCTCGACAAGCCCTCTGTCTAATGAGTAGTCCAGGCCTTTACCTGAAGCCAGGGGGTGGACTCCCAAGAAAGACGACCAGACACATTCGCCTGGCAGAAGGCTATCGAGGTAGAAGCAGGACAGAGCGGCGTCTCCATTGACAAAATAGAAGTGTCACTAAGGTCTCCCGACACCAAATAAGGGATGAAAAGGTCGATACGTCGATGGGGATCCATCTAAGTCCATGGATAGGGAATTGATGGATGTATTATAAAACAACATTATGGGAACTCTCGATAAGAAGGATCCTCACAAGCACAACAGTGGTGAAACATTGGTCTCAATAAAGGCGACGGCTGTGGGAAACCCTAATCAACTGGAAAGGTGACTTCGAAGGAAACTGTAACAGAAAATCCTTCGATGTGCCTCTGATGTGCCAAACCGGAGGTAACACTCCCAAGCAAGGGAAGGCGAGACTGTGGTTAAAACTTGGGAACCGCAGACCACAAAAAGGCTGCAAAGAAGAATAGGAAATCAAAGCCTCTTAAAGCCTCGAAATTGATTCAGCCGATTCCATCAGTTGGTTCATCAACGTAACACGTTACTACGGAGAATGTGGTAAAACAACAAATGGGCAGAGCAAAGTCAACCACTACAAAAGCAAGAGCGAGCGGACATAAGGGTGTGTTGTCTGCTGAGTTGCCGATCTCGCTGAAGGAGGCAGCATCAAAGATGACAGTGGCTGTGAAGAGGTTGCGGTCTGCTGACAAGCAGCAACCCAAAGCGAAGAAAATGATGCAACAGTCCGCCTCGTATGGTTTAGTGACGGCAAAGAATGATAGTGGGTAAATGTTTAATCCACAGGATATCGTTTATAAGGACAAAAATGTTCAATCGACACTTAGTGACCTAAGTACTCAATATGAGTATCCTATATATTATATTAACATAGTGATTTAGTTTTAGGAAAATGTATATGCCATAGAGGAGCAATTCTGTTTAAAATCTAGACTCCAGATTTAAATCGAATTTGTGTTAATGAACGGGTAATTTCCTCGGTGAAAAAAATGTATATGTTAAATATGATCACATAGGCCCCATTTTGTTATCTTTAAGATTTTTCTCAAGCTGAGCAGCCTTGATTGTTTTGTGATTTTCTTTTTCTTTATACTTACTTGAGTGGGTACATACGAAGACCCTTCTCCATACCGGGGCAGTATGACAAGAAGGCAGCCAAAATGGTTTCGAACACCAAACCAAAGTTCAAGGCCCAATTTCTCATGCCTTGTTGGAAAATGGAGTTTCGTCGAGTCTTGCAAATAATCAAATCAGCCCATTGTACAACCACAATGGAAACGAAGAAAGCTGTATGGCAGGTGTATTCCAAAGTTTTGCGATCGCGATAGGTCTGCAACAAAGAAATAAACAAAGATTAGACTAAATCCAAATGCATAAATAAAATTCTGCAAACGTACCCATTCTTGACCATAGGAATCGGTTAAATCATTGACAGCCTTGGAATCCCACATCTTACGGATGCCGAACAATGTCAGTGGCAAGAAACCATTTTCAGCCATGATGACAAAGTAGACAAAGAAGCCGGCAGCAGCTTGGATCATACCAATTTGACCGTAGGCCATGGAAATCAATCTGTTTGATTTTTACACGTAATTGGGGAAATAATTGGAATCATTAATAATTGTGTTGAGATTAAGCATATGTATATATATTTTTTGTTATAAGATTTATGTTTAAAAATGTGTTAGTATTTGTTTTAAGTAAAAAAAGGTATTTCTTTCACTTTATCTGGTTAGTTTTGAAATGAGTTTAGAATTTAGCATTTTTTTTATTAGTAAAGGAAGGAAGTTTTTATTTCAAAAAGAAGAAAATATTTTTAAATTTTATGTTAAAGTATTTATGAAATATTTAAAGAAAATTTGTTTTTTGTAATTTAATACTTTAACATTACCTGAATATTTTTTTATTTAATTTTTGTATTATTTTATTGTATGCAACCAACACCAATTAAACAATTTTGGTTTTTTTAGAAAATGCTAAATTTTCTTTAGAATTTTGAACAAATGGTGGATTTTTTTTTTGTTAGTGAATCAATCGAATCGAATTTGTATTACAGGTGAGAATTTTTGGTTCTGTTTGAGGGGGTGGTGAGTGAACAAGAAAATTTGCTACACTTTGTACAAAGTAAAAAAAAAATAGTTAGAGTGATATACAAAGTTCAGAGTTCGACAGAGCGAGTTACGGGGTGAAAGTATTTAGAAAAAAGCTTTTTAAATATTTTCTTTAGATTTATTTTTCGACTCTTTCAAATTGTATGCGAAGCCTTTACTTGTTATTTTTCTTACATACAAAGACATGTTTAAAATATACACTAGGACAAGGGTGGCATTGATTGAAAGAGTTCCATTTTTAAAGCATTGTTGTTAAAAGCTTTGTTTTTTTAGTTTAAGTGAGGAATTTGTTACAAATGCGTGGTGGTGCCATTAGGCAGCGGGCGGCTTTAATTAGCGGCAAGAGCAAAAACAAAATTTCAAATGTTGAGTACCATATTCATTTTTTCTTTGAACAGTAGAAATGTAGTATATTTTTTTTTTTGGTTTTGTTGGAATTTTGTTTTTGGAAAAATAAAAAAAGCTTGAAGATAATATAACGGTTTCTCCATCGCGAACAAATCATGTTTTGATTAAGAAAAGCGATTTTTAAATTATTATTAGAACTTTAGTCTTCATTAAAAATTTGCTCGCCATAGAGAAACGCTTTACAAGAAATAAAGGTGAAAAAAGCAAAGCACGTTTAATTAAAGCAATAAAACAAAAAATGTGATGATTTATTTTAAATATAGAAAATATAAGCTTGAAATATTTGCATCATGCCATAGGTGTTTGTATTTACATTGAGAGATGGTGAATGAGTTTTTTTTACTAGAAAGCTTTTCATGCCTTTCATATGCTTAGAATTAAAAAAGGTAAATATAAATAATAATAAACAATGTAGATGATGAACAACAAGAAAAAATACAAATAGTAGAAGAAAAAATCGTGCAATTTATTTTTGTACATCTCTACACCCAAGAATATGGGCGAAGAGAAGATATCCCATTTTTTAGAGCTTTATTTTCTGTGTATGAGCTTTTTGACTTGTTGAAATTGAAATAGAAGGCATTTGATTTACTTACGCTTAAACCTGGTCATTATTTTTTCGTATTTTTATAACTCTTAAAATAGTTGATTGAAATAAAATTAAAACAATCATCCAAAAAAAAAGAAGAATATTTTTAGGTAAAGAAACGTCTCAAGGGAATATAGAGCCTATATTTCTATACATCAACCACACACAAAAAGAATACCAAAGGTGGAATATTGAAATTGATTTCTAAGACTAACATCCTAAGCTTAAATTCAGAAACAGATAATATTCATCAGGAGAGCAAAAAGGAAATATTAATATTCCTTTCTTATTTATTCCGAAAAATATTTTCTGTATCCTTCTTTGAAATATATTGGAATAATTTGTTCAATTCAGTGTGATGTTACTAATTTTATCTGAGAGTTTTTATTTTAGTGTTAAAAACCAAGAAGAGCCTAAAAATACTAAGAATGACATTTTTAAAACTAAATTCCTAAATTGTAAGAATAAGATTATCTAATATACAATTTTGTAAATGTTTGCAACTATGTATAATTTTGAGAAATTTTGCCTATAAGTGTATGTTGATAGTTGAATCATGCAATAGAAGAAGGAATTGGAACTGTGTAAAATGGACTTTACTTTTAGGAATTTGACGAAAAGTACGTGTTGATATCAACCATATTGGCGTTCATTTAAATTTACAATAACACACATTACGAATGGCGCCTAATGTGGTAAGGAATGTGTTCCCAAAGAGCTGGAGTAAGTATTTAAATTCTAATTGAATGTATTTTTGGCAGATTTTAGCTACGTCGAGTTTCCTAAAATATTAAGAGCTGAGAAAGTATTTATTTTAAAGTTTACAGAAACAAATCCTCCATAATATGTTTTATGGATGACTGGCGCCCAATGAAAAGTTTTAAACAAATGGTTGATTTTAAAGGGACTTATCATGTTTATGTCCCTAAAAATATTTATAAAAACTATGTAAAAAATAAACAAATAAAAATAGATAATAATTTAATAAAATATCTAAATTTTCTAAAATTCTAAAGTTTTTTTACAACATGGGGCTTTTTCCTGAACGAAGTCGAAAACACTTTTTTTCTAATTTTTTATGTTCTATGCTTTTGAGTATACATATATAAATATAAAAATAAAAATTATCAAAAATATTTTGTTTTTTTTTTTAAATAAAATATTAAGATTTTCTGAAAAAAGCTGCAACAAAATATTTCTATATTTTTGGACTACGCGTTGTTCACTACTTATATTAAAAATATTGTATTTTTTATATTTTTGTTGCTATGCATTGTTGACTGCTAATGTAACTAAAAATATATATTTTTAAGGGGGGAATTAAAATATGTATTTCGCTATATAACCAAAGCTATGTATGTAAAAAGATTTTTACCTAATAATAATAAGTTTCTGGTTTTTTAATTTTCTACCCAATTTATTTTTTCAATTTTATATAGACAGGAAAAAACATTTAGAATTTTGACACCCATAAAGAAAATGAAAATTGAGTGAATCGAGTTATCAATCTTAATCCAATATAGTAACCAATGAAAATTTAGTTTCCATAAAAAAAACATTCAGAAAAATTGGTGCTTGTTATGAGAAAACAGATTTGTTGTGGTGGAGAATGAAGAATGATAAAGAGAGAGAGAGTAAGAGAGAATAACATTTTTCTGTAAAAAAATTACATGTAGAAACCAATTTTGGATTGAAAAAAATTTAATTTAGAAAAATGTAATTGTTGTTATTTATGTTTATATTATTGTTTTAATTATTGTAATAGATAAGAATTCTCTTTGTTTTACGTTATACAGAAAGTATGAAGTATTTTTTTTTTTTTTTTTGGCGGAAGATATCTTTTTTACAACTTATGTAGACAACAATTACAGTTTTTTTTTTTTTTTTTTTTTTTTGATGAAAACCATGAAAAACTTGAAAACAATGTTTTTTCCATTCAAACAATTAGAAAATATAATGAATATGAAAAAAATCTGCGAATGAGATTTTTTCGTTTTTGTTGCTGTAATTTTAAAGTGTCTAACGGTCAAGTTGAACGGAACGACAAATGAACAAAATTTCGTAGACACATAACTGAAATCAATGAAAACGTAACGGGGGAAAACTACAAAACATATACAAACAAAAGTTGTATTTGGTCTATTTTTGGGGGTGGGGCAACTGTGTGTGGTTTTTGTTTTGTATGCCAATTTTCGGGAGTTGTAAAATATTTTTTCAATTTAACTTTGTCTTTTTGTGGTTCGACAGGGAGGGTGTGACTGAGGCTGTGTCAAACTTGTATGCCAATTTCGTGGGAAGAGATTTTGAAATTTATTTTGTTTTTGGGTTTTGTGTATTTTTGCGGTAGTGTATTGGTTTTGGATGTGAATTTGAGTTTTTTCGTTCTCGAACAAAACAATATCTAAATTTAACAATGCAACTAGAGAACACTCTAAAGTAGGCAACTTTGTTTTTTGCAACAAAAAAATTGGTTTGATTTTTTTGGAACTAAGTTGTAGTTGTTTGTTTTGTTATTGTGTTTATTTATGTTTTTGTATTTTTTTCTTAAATTTCTATAATTCTGACCTGCGATTGACCAAGTTATCACGATAGGGATCTCGGGGTTGTCGTTTCATAATGTCACTCTCAGCTTGCTCATAGGCAAGTGAAATGGCCGGTACCTTTTTTTTTTGGGTTATTGTGGTGGTTCGTTTTGTTTTGTTGAATGTTTATGGTTTTCAAGTGTTTTGATTTTGTAAATGATAGTTTTGACGTTTCGAGTTGAGTTTTATCATTATTAATATTTGTATATTTATAAAGAGAAGAGTAAGGTAATAATAAAACAGTGCAGAGTTGGTTTTTTTGGTTGGTTGATTGGTTCGGATAAACATTATAGGTAAAAAGAATTTCAAGAAAAATGTTAAAAGGAAAAAAATTCATAAGAAGAAAAATAGTATAATTAGAATGGTTTCTAATTTAAGGGGCGTGTGTTAACTGGTTTTCAATTTTGTTTTTGGTTTTTGGTAAAAGTTTTCAAAAATTATTAAAACTAAATAGTTACTATGATAGTTTGTTTTTTAGGAGATTTTGCAGTTGTAGCTAATACTTATCGACTTAAAAACGAAGAAGTTTTGGTTTTCATTTTATGAGATTTTTTCTAATTTCTAATAGTATGTGAGTCTTAGAATTTTATAACGATTTTAATGTTTAATAATAGCCTTAGATAGTTTCTAAAAATTAGTATTTCTTTCAAAATAATAAAATTTCAAAAAAAAAAAAAAAAACTATGTTTATGCATTCTTTTGTTTAGGAAAAAGAAACATAAAAAGAAATATTGTTATGACATCACTATAAAGGAACAAAATTAGGAGACTTGCACGAAAATCAGAAATGAAGAACCCAAGACGAGAGATAGAGGTAAATATGTTTGAATATCAGGGAGTTGTTTGTGGGTGTAATTGTAAGATATGAAATATTCATTGTGG